TCGCACTTAGTGCAGCACGGGATTCTGGGATTACGTCATCAATATTTAAACTCTAGGGGAGTGGAGTGCGTTAAAATGTGGTCCGAAGCACAAATGGCAGGATTCTACCTATTGTTTTCTCATATATTTCTCACTTCGTTTGTTAATATAATTTCAATTATACTTTCAGGCCGCTTCGCGGCCCTTGTATAATTGGGATTGTTGCTGTAGAAGTCAGCCTTGTATGAACGGAGGAACCGGTGTAGAACACTGTGACAAACCAAAAGTTCAGCTGCAAGTGTCCTGGTCCCCTTTTTGTAAAAATCTGCGGTTTGTTTGTGTGCGTACCGCGTGGATTCACGGCATGCACCTGCAGCATCACACACTCCTAACGAAGATGACTTAGGATTGTATGTTACTTTGAATATAACATCCTAATGCACCGCGCAACACAACAGTCTGCCACACAGCGGTGGTTAGAACAGCAATAGGGTGACCACACAGCACATCTACTGACCTTGGAATATAGGAACCTGTTACTATGGTAACACTAATCCAGTATCCAAATGCACTGCAACACAAGTATACCACACACAGTGTTGATTAGGAGAACAGCAATACGGACAGTGACAAGCGGTTTTTGTGGTCAGTTAGACCCGGAAATACGTCACAACTTGAAAGCTCCACTGCATTGATTTTTCAATACAGCAGACATAATCACGCGACCTTTTTATAACGCAAAAGCGCCAGGACCTTCCCGCATTTTTCTTCCACCAGTCGTACGCTCTCTGGAGACATTTCCGACCTCCACTTTTGAGCCTTTTGGACGCGAAACAAAGACTCTAAATTACCAAATGAATTGTTTCTTCTCTTGAGGAATTCATTTAGCTTTGCAAGTTCTCGTTTGGGATTATTTAAAAAATCCTCTATTTTGACGAGAAGGTAGCGACCTTCTAGCCAATTTGGAGGGTTCTCACCAGTTTTAACGTTCAACATCATTTGTGCACAGATCCTATAGGATGTAAGCCCAAGCTCTTCCCCTGAAAGTTCCTTAGTAACCGACTTTGAGATGTCATGAATAACAGCCCTAGGATCTCGCACGACGTGGACTACCCTGATTGAAAGCGACCTCAATTTTGGCACGGTCATAAGCACTTGAAGCGATAAAATAGATTTGAGTTGATCTGTCTGGATAAGTAGTTGATCACTCTGGTCACACTCTGTAGCCAGCCAATCAGAAAATGCTTTGGTGCATCGATTATTAGCAGTTAAGGTGGCTCCATACCGTTCCTTAGCAACGCACTCTGGTGCTCCAAGAAGTGTTCGAGAAAGATTACGTGTCTTGTCTTGCATCAAATGATGAAGCAAAAACTCTTTTTCTTCAAAGTTACACTTCAAGACCTCTTCAATCAAAGCTGTTGCCAGTGGAAACCCTATTGTAGGTTCATGTTTCATGTAGTAAGAGAGCTTGTTCAAAACTTTCGGCAAATAGAAAACCTTAGCATCACTGCTGATGATACTCCCGAAGACTTCCGAAGATCCATCGGGTGTTCCAAAAATAACGACCGCTTCACGAAAGAAAGATCGTTCTTTCGTGTATTTCTTCACCAAGTCGATGCGAAGGCGCATTTCTCGAGCGTCATATTCCTTTTCATCACAGTTTTGAGGTTCGTTCAGGTTGCCCCTAGGGCCATTGGACTTTAACAAGACCTTTGTGGACGTTTTCATCGAATGGTAAAAAAACCTTGCCGTTATTAACATTGCTAACATAGCTGCAGGTATTACAAGGCATTGCCTTATCATATTGTCAAACCACACATAGAAATAAATAAATCGCTTTTTGATTGAATGTCACGATTAAGTTCAGTAATCGCCGAGGATCTCTTTCTTCTTTTTAAAAYCGATTCTCGGAGAGATTTTGGGTCCAATTTTCAAGTAATTGTTGTCCATTTTGCCATTATATTTTACTTGATCTAAAAGTTAGCTGCAACGATATCGGTCCTGAAAACGATACACATGACTTAATATTCTTGTTCTTAAAGTCATGGTTATTAAGCAACAGGTACTCTCATACAGCAGGTTGTTTTGGACGGACAAAGGAGCAGCCGGTTGCCTCGGAGATAAGCAGCCGGTCACCATGGAGACAATAAAATTCAATACCGGATCGAAAGTTCCAACAAAATATTTAACGAAATCTCTAAAATATCAATTTAGACGGTATATAATAACGTGACTTGATTGCCGGTTATTGATTTGTAAGATAATGTCGAAGATGTGGAAGACAAATTTAAGGAATATATAAAACACCCGCGAATGTTTATGTACTGTGATATAAACACGATGGGATCAGTAGAGCACGAGAGAAGCAAGCTTAGGAACAAGAGGCGTAGCCGAGAAACAGTATACCCTAATTTTTCCACTACGACACGAATATACCCCGATTTTCCGAAACAATTTGGATTCCAAAAACAAAATAGGTTATACCCATAAATCAGATAAATATCGTCGGAAAAAATTACCTTGGTACTACTGAATATACCTGAAAACCCTGGCCAGGTCTGAAGGTACGACTTTGTCCTAACGTTGAAATGGCTTCCCATTGCCTTCCAGTAATTCATCCAATCACAACGCACAGTTACGGTTACTTTCGGGTAAGATAATATATGGCTACGAATATGCCGTATTGCTTCCCACTCATACGAAAACCGGCCGGACCAGAAACGGTGTTAAAGGCAATTTATTTGATTCGAGATTTATCTACAAAACAAAACGAACTGAGCTTTACTTCTTCAAGAGTTTGATGTTTCGGTTTCTTTGTCACTTCTTCCTGCGACGCTGGGTTGGTTAGGGTCGGAAGATTTTTGTTGCGACATGGTTAGATCAACTTATCCCCCCCTCCAATACACTATAAGACACTTCTTTTCCATTAACTGTCCCCCCGTCACTAGTTCTTTCTACTTTCTCATCTTCGTGTAATCCCCCCTTTGACTGGTCAATGAGTAGCTGATCCTTCTGCCAGTTGTGTAAAAACCATGTTATCCCCCCTACCCTAGATCCTTCGATCCCCCCTCCAGGCGATAAATGGTGATCGATTCCGACCCACACGACGTCATAGCAACGGTGCCATAATGCAGTTAGTTGTTATAGCAACAATTTGTGAGGTACACTTCTTGTTAAAACCAACATATATGTGGTGGAAATAGCAAGTTCTCATGACGTATGGGCGTGCGTGTATTAGGGACTTTACGATTGGTGAAATCTACGACGACGATGAAGTCAACCGGAAGTGTAAATAATTTCTCTTTGGGGAACTGTTCATTGGATATTTCATTCAAAACAATGTCAGTAAAGTGAACTCATCCAAATAGGGAAGACAGGCTTTGAAAGCGCGAAATCCCAAAGTAAAGTTATCTACACTTCCCGTTGACGTCGCCGTCGCAGATTTGCAAATCTCAAGTACCCTATTCACCATCTTGTGACGCAAATGAGCCCCATTATGCCCGACAGCCCGATTCCCTTGGAAAAACCCAAGGACAGAAAGGAAGTGATAGGAGGCCGTTAGAATACACTTAAGGGAGCTGAACAAAAGGAATACTTTGGCTTATTTTCTCTTTTTGGACGGTCTGTCGAAGGACTGCTTGCTGCCGCCGGCGTGAAGAGAATGGAACTTCACAGCGAGAGGATTATCCTGCGCCCATGCGGACTCGAACTGAAAACACACAGAAACAAATAAAATAACATAAGAGCTTTGGGAATACAAAAAAGAATCGCTGAAACATTGCATATTTTGCGCACAACATTCAACGCACAAAGAAGGACTAGCCGGTTGCAGTCGAAACGATGCGGTCTTTCACGCAAGCGCAAGAGAACATATTGTGCTTATGCTTGCGTCGACTTACGTGACTAGTAAGAACCAAAATAAAGAACCTAAATAAGAGTATAATTAAACAATCAAAACAGATTGATTAGTCTATTTCTTTGAACCAAATCACAGAACTCGATCTAGCCACTTAAGCCTGCATGTCTTCAGGTATTCTCGACTTTCACATCCCCATAATACTTTAAGAGGGTAAAAACCTACTTATTTTGCTGAAGGCTGATCAGACAATGTTGACAATACCTTATTTGGTATCCAAAAATAAAATGAAGAAGTAAAAAACAGAAAAAGACAGAAGCTTGAAGACGTTTAAGGTAAATTTTAAACATTTTTTCGTAAATCAATACATTTTCTGTAAGACCAAGACTCTTGATGATCTGTACAGGCAAGAATAACTTGGAATAAACTGATAATCAGTATTGTACAGATAAAGCAGGTATAGTATAAATTCAATTAAGAAACCTTTCAATTTGGGACAGTTTTTTGATTGGTTACCCCCAAAAACGCAAGGCATTATGGGGATGTGAAAGTCGAGAATGCGTCAAGACACAAAGGACACACGACCACCGGCTGTCTCTGGCATTAATAAAAGACAAATTCAGCTGCCCGATGGGGCAAGAGGAAATGCTCCCATCGCCCCTACCCTACCCACCTAGGTTTCCGTTTGGTCATACCTGAGTCGTATCCTGATCAGCCAGGTGAGTATACTTCGTTCTTCCAGATCGACCAAAGTTTTTGACCTAAAAAGTAATATAAGAGCATGGAATGAAGAATAAATTACGAATCATAACAGAAAGATAAAATATGGCTGATGATGGTGGTGATGTTGATGACGGTGATGATGGTGGTGGTGCTGATGATGGTGGTGATGTTGTTGATGATGATGATGGTGGTGGTGATGATGATGGTGATGATGATGGTATTGATGATGATGATGATGGTGATAATGGTGATGGTGTTGATGATGATGGTGATGATGATGGTGGTGTTAATGATGATGGTGAAGGTGGTGTTGTTGATGATGATGATGGTGATGATAACGATGATGATAGTGGTGGTTGTGATGATACTGATGATTGTGATGATGATGTTTGTGGTTATGATGTTAATGATGGTGAATGATAAAACCCTTCCATACCTGCATAACTTTTGGTAGAATAGTTTTATCGAAGTGATCTTCCAGTGTCGGTGTGGCAAAGTCACGTTTATAGACAGTATTTTCCTCATCCTATAACATTCGTTTGATAATTATTGATCTAGTTAATTACTACTGTAACATTTGAGACGCGCAATGTGTAAGATTTTATCTATTGATGAGTTTCAATCAGCTGATAAAAATCTATGAGTCTCATTGTGTGCTCCGAATGGTGGCCAAACACTGACCACCATGTGCTGTCAGCCAGATAAGAATTACATTGAAATCTTATGATTCAGCTGATGATCATTCTGTACGAGACAGGAAATGACATAAAGTTAAACCAAGGAGCTGAACACCAATTCATAGTTCCAACTTAAACAACAGCGAACCAAGAACGATTGCAGCAGTTTTCCCAATTGAATTAAAATCTTGTCCCACAAACAACTACACAGTATCTGTTTTAAAGAGTACTACAAGGATTACGAGACAATTTTCTATTCTTTTCGCAGGACAGTAAACTAAAAACGAGAAACAATTTATAATCAATTTTCCGCGATCAGAGTTTTAAATTCTGAAATATTCTAGATAATTGTTTAACCTTGTGGGACATAGCAACGGTGACTAAGGGGAGTCGGAACAATGAAATAATTACGCGCGTGCGCATCGCTGTTATCCAATCAAAATGCTTGAAAAGGCATGACATGGCATGGCACGTCACTAACAAATCTGCTCCATCTAGCACTTACCAGGAAGAACGCTCCACGATGGTAATATTTCTGTAAAAATTTGTATTTGCCCTTGACGGACTTATTGGTGACTTGTTTAGGATTAGTTTTGAATTCAAGACGGCGCTGTTCCTCGCTCATGCCACGTATGCGCTCTGTTTCCAATCTTTCTTTTTCTATCCTGTAAAGAAAGAAAAAACAAAGAAACATTACATATCGGTTGTGATGCTGTGATATTGAGGGTTTGCACTTCTGTGAGATAATTCAAATGCAGGAATTTTCTAGGGTACGATACTGTGGGGAAATTCCAGGGCACAGATATAAAAATTCCAGGCAATGCTTTGATTTTAATGGTTCAAACTATTGAGAGTTTATGAAATTCCAGCTATTCCAAGAGCACGAAAATAAAAAATTCCGGCAATGCTTTGATTTCCCGTACACGAGGGCCCTGTACTACACGTACATGTACGACCTCCCGCACAACAGGCCAGTACCCCACCAGCTGAGCCGACCAGATGGTAGTTTTTCATATCCTCTAGCAATACAAAGTTGCTAATACTTACTGGTCTCTCTCATCTCGGTCTCTCTTGATTCGTTTCAGTTCACGCAGCTTCCAGGCCTCATACTGAAAAGGAAACTTTATGTAGTCAGTCTGCGCATACCCGTAATAAAAATATCAAGAATCGAGAGCGGTATACGACCACTCGCAATGAGTCCCTAGAGGAMTCGTTCTGGGCGACAAAACAATCGATTTTTTTGCATAAGAAAAGACTGCCTATTGTTTTGTCCCCAGAACAATTCTTCTAGGGATTCAATGCAAGGAGTCTATACATTAGCGTCTGAAGTGTCAGGTTCGATTCCCGGACTTGTTTATTAGGTCTCTGCCTTTATTCCAGGGTTTTTCTCTGGATTTTCCAGTTTTTCCTCCCTCCGCAAACCTAACACGCTAAATTTCATTTTGATCTGGGAGTTAACTTTTTGCTGTGCCCTGGCTTAGATTAGCCCAGAGGTTGCTTCAGGGTTTGATGTGAGAGTTACCCGTGTCCTGACTTTGATTACTCCAGAGGTTGTTTCGGGATTCGATCTGTGAGTTAGCCATGCCCTGACTTAGATCAGCTCAAAGGTTGTTTCAGGGTTTGATCTGTGAGTTAGTCATGCCCTGACTTTTCAGGGTTCGATCTGTGAGTTAGCCATGCCTTGACTTAGATCAGCCCAGAGGTTGTTTCAGGGTTCGATCTGTGAGTTAGTCATGTCCTGACTTAGATCAGCCCAGAGGTTGTTTCAGGGTTCCATCTGTGAGTTAGTCATGCCCTGACTTAGATCAGCCCAGAGGTTGTTTCAGGGTTTGATCTGTAAATTAGCCATGCTCTGACTTAGATCAGCTCTGACTTTGATTAGAGCCAAGGTCGTTTCAGATCTAGATAAAAAGGTCAAAGGAGAATGCTAAAAATAAAAAATAACATCAATGGTACATGACATAAACATACCGCTTCTTCATCATTTTCTGTGTCAGATATCACAACTTGTTCTTCTTTTTCGACTGAACAGGAAAGGAAAAATGGTTTAGATCGTATCAAATATTGAAAATACATTTTACTTTGTGCATTTCAAAGTTGCCCCGGCTTTTAATCATAATGCGCATGAGCAGAATGATATTTGTAGGAAGTTATTTGCAGTTGTCTCGGCCAATCAAAACGAAGGACAAAATAGTTTGAATGAGGCCCCGTCCACACTATGCAGGATAAATTTGAATCCGCAACTTTCACACCGAAACCGAAAAAAAAGTTTTCCGTCCACACATGAAAACGGATAAAATGTTTCGCGTTCACACTAGTCCGATCAGAGGCGGCAAAAACGCTTCATTGCACATCTGAGCATGTGCATCGAAGCTGAAATTGAGTGAATTTTTTGCCTTCCCGCCATGTTCCCATGACAATTATGACGTCATCGTATTCGAAAAATTTCGGGTACGAAATGTTCTCCATCCACACTAATACGGCTAGCCGGCGTTTTCAAATTGTTCCGATCTGGAGACGGTATTCGAAAAAATTCGTTTTCGGTGAAGAATTGTTCCGGATTCGCCCGGACTAGTGTGGACGGTAGGACTAACCGAATAAATAAAAATTCGGATTCAAATTTATCYGGCATAGTGTGGACGGGGCATGATAAATGATTTTATTCTCATGTGGATAAATCTGACCGCCGTGTGATCAAGGCCAGTGCTAGTGATAAACTTACCTCCTTGCTCTTCCTGTCTTTCTTTCCGCATCAATTCTTCTACCAGCTGTTGGAAAGTTTTAAAAACACCCAACTATCAATACAAAGGGGCTACTTCTGTTTTACTGCAATTGTCATAAACATGCAAACTCTGTGTCTGCAAGCTGCAAGCTGAAATCATTATTATTATTATTTTGCTGCCGTCAATCAAACTTAATCAGTCGTTACCTTTCATATTTTTGACTAGCGGCAGCGAAAAACCAAATTTCAGAGTGCAACTCGGAGACACAGAGTTCGCATGTTTATCAAATATTGCAGTAATGTGGGAGTGCAGTAGTCAGAAATACATGTGGGTTTGATGGGAGTGATGGCAATAAGGATAATAATGATATTGATAATGATCATAATGCAAATATATTTTCAATAATAATATATAATAATATGTTTTATTATCAGTGTGAAAATTCTATAGCATGATGTTCAAATGAGAGGTACTTTATGAATCAAACCTTTCTTGAAGTCTTCTTTCTTTCTTCCATTACTTTTTTCTTTTGTTCTTCTTTCTTTTCTTCATCCACTTCCATTTTTTCTCGTTCTTGAACAGTCACTCTGTCACTCCTGGAAATATATAATTGTTAATAAATATTATTGTAAAATAATATTAAATTAATTAAAGGTTCATTAAAAGGGTCAAATCTTTTTATTTTCCTTGTTGACTTAATGAGAGGTTCAGAAATACTTTACTTTAGAGGTAACCAATTAAAATTCAAGGGCTATTCAAGGAGTATACAAGGACCCAAAAATGAAATTTCAAGGAGTATGTTCAGCTAAATATGCCAAGGTTTTACACGATGGTTGCAGATGGCCGACTTTCAGATTTTCCAGTTTTTCTGACTAGATCTATTTCAGAACCATGCAAGTAATGATCAAAGCAAAAATTCAAGGAGTTTTCAAGGAGTTTCGCTAAAATCATAAAATTCAAGAGCTTTTCAAGTGCTCTTGAAAACGTGAATTAAATTCAAGGAGTTTTCAAGGAGTTTAAGGATTAGCACAAAAGTGAAACAATTTCTGCAAGTCCACCAGCCCTCTCCTCCATCAATAACGTACCTTCCCTACAAATTTACTGAATGGAAATACATTCTTAAGAGAAATACATGTAATAAGAATCACAAGCCATAATGAAAACATATGTTCATGTCCCATTAAAAAAAAAGAAGGGAAGCACAGGTAACATAGTGAGAGGGCTCCCCTCTCATTAATGCGAACTGGGTTTGAGTCCCACCAGGCTCAGTGTCATACAGTATGTCAGTAGAGTTGTTTGTAGGTTCTTTCCTATGCTTCAAGGGTTTTTCTCTGGTTTTCCTCCCTCCACGATATCCAAATATCAACTCCTAAATTCCAATTCAATCATGGAATGAGGGCCACAGGTTTGTAATCCACTAGCTATCAAGTGCTACCCTGGTAAAAACGAGGTTTCTTTTTAGAAGTACAAAAAATTTAAGAAAGATCAATTTTCGCTCATAAAACTGCATTTATGGTGAGCTCAGTCAACTGTCATACCTTCTGACAAAGACTGGTTTCAATCTAGGTCCTGTTTCTTCCTCTGAATCTGAATATTCTTCATATTCTGATGACTGAAAAAACAAGCATCACATTGTTGAACAAAAAAAAAAAAACACTTATAGCATTATAAAATCACCTTAACTTTTGGAATAGGAGTAGGAGTAGGAGTAGGAGTAGGAGTAGGTTCCATTCCTATTTTTAGGGTTTTTCTCTGGGTTCTCCTCACTCCTTAAGATGCTGTATAAAAGTACTGTACTTACATCTTCTTCTTCTTCTGCTTCCGACTTGGCTTCATCCTCTATGTCCAACAAATCCTGCCAATATCCAGGTATAAAAGTTACAATGCAGTGCACTAAAATAGATACAGTTGCCAGGGGTGAAGAACGGGAGGGGGAGGGGGG